AGCTTTAGTTCATAGACATTTTGTCATTTTCCTATAGAATTTGCTAGTACAATTCAAAATCTATAGTTCCATCAATGATAACAAGCCATCCTGGTCCAGAAGCAGCAAAACAGGCCCAAGCCAATCAGTCTGTCAGGCAGAACCATCTGATTATCTTCTGGGGTATAGGACTGTGTAAACAAAGGCATAAGGCTCATGCCTTTAAGACCCAGTTGGTCACACAGCCAGAGGATGTAAAATGAAGGTAAGGGGCGCTCTTAAATCCTATTGCTTGTTTCCTGCCTCACCCAGGTCTCAATCCATCTGAGCTGAACATTACAGAGCACAGTAGTAGCTTCCAATAAAACATGAGTTTATTTGTCTCTTTGAAGAAATGTGGAATCAGCCAGTCAGTGAGGCTTAGTATTGGAGGGAGCCCAGAAAAGGCTGTCAGTGACGGTTTGAAAGAACAGCACTTTGCTGGGTGAAGGGCTAGCCCACGGGTCAGCAACCTGTGGCTCCGGAGCTGCATGCAGCTCTTTCAGCCGTGTCCTGCGGCTCCCAGCCACGTGCAGTGCCCCCCCCAAAAAATAGGACTAAAAAGTTGAACCAATCAATTCAAACTTCTCACGAAAGAAGTTTGAATTGATTGGTTCAACTTCTTTGGTTTGTGGGACGCTGTTTGCCATGGGCTCGACATAGACAGGAAGGTGGGGGAGAAAGACAGCTCCGGAGGGAGACAGCCCTTTAGCAAGAAGCCAACAGTCCGAGTGGAGCGGCACGGAAGACTTACTGGTTGGTGTGGGAGGTTCCAGCGTTGCAGGTGAACAAGGCCTGGCATCCGTAGCCCAGTTCCACACCCCGACGACCAGCTGGAACAGCTTTCACTGCTTCTTTGCAAACAAACGCAAAAGGTTTCGGGGTTTTGATCACCGCTTAGTTCGTGCTGCCCAGTGTCTGCCTGCCTGCCTGCCTACTTCCTTGCAGGCCTCCATGCTCCTTCCCCGAAGCATGCAATTGCTCAGAGCCCGTCCCAAAAGGTGCTGCTTCCCTGGCAGGAGCCGAGTTTGCAAGCCTCGTTGGCAAGGCGGGAAAACAAGGTCCGGAGGATTCCCTCCTGATGCGGAGCTGCAGTGCCTGGTCCTGGGCTGATAGGGGAGGGGGGTATCCGGGGACTAAAAAGTCCTCCAGGACAGGCTTGGGGCTGGCCCTCTTTCCCCGGCCGCAGGAGAAGGGGAGGCGCAGGCTCTCCACCCGGGCGAGCAGGCAAGAAAAAACCCGAAAGCAGGAGGGAACCTTCCAGACCTTCGGTTTTCTTGGCTGGCCAACAAGGCTTGCAAACTCGGCTCCTGCCAGGGAAGCAGCACCTTTTGGGATGGGCTCTGAGCAATTTCATGCTTCGGGGAAGGAGCTTCCCTGGCAGGAGCCAAGTTTGCAAGCCTTGTTGGCAAGCCGGGAAAACCGAAAATCTGGAGGATTCCCTCCTGCTTTTGGGGTTTTTCTCGCCTGCCCGCCCGGGTGGAAAGCCTGCGCCTCCCCTTCTCCTGTGGCTGGGGAAAGAGGGCTGGTCCTGAGCCTGTCCTGCAAGACTTTTTAAGCCCCGTATACCCCCCACCCCCTCCCCCGTCAGCCCAGGACCAGGCACTGCAGCTCCGCATCAGGAGGAAACCCTCCAGACCTTCAGTTTTCCCAGCTTGCAAACTGGGCTCCTGCCAGGGAAGCTCCTGCCAGGGAAGCTCCTTCCCCGAAGCATGCAATTGCTCAGAGCCCGTCCCAAAAGGTGCTGCTTCCTTGGCAGGAGCCGAGTTTGCAAGCATCTGTTGAGGCAGAATTCAAATCACAGGCATTGAGGAGTTTTAAATATTCACACCAAGAAATCAGATTCCGTGAAATCAGCGAGACTTCCCCCGTGTGGTATGCATAACATTGCACCTCAACCCTGACTGAAGCCACTGAGCAAATGAGGGATTCCGTCGTTGGCAACATTACAAGCTGATGCTGGGGCTTCAAGTCAGTTGCGCCCGTTTAACCCACACATAACTGCCGCCCAGGATCAGCTCCTTAAGAAGCTGAGAATTCCCCTAAAAGTCGGCTAAATTTAAAATGTTTAAAACCGTTAACGAAGCCCCCTAAGCATTCTAGGGGTGGGAAGATCCCTCGCACTTGGCTGTTAACCGGCTCTTTTATGGGAGGGGTCATGCAGGGACCGTTGATTGGGTGAAGCGGGCGGGGGTGATTCCATGGGAGAGAAGAGGTGGGGCATTATCTCCATGGTTACGGGGGAACACAAATCACAGCGGAGCTTTCATCTTGTGCTGTTGCCAAAGTGAAGCGGCGAAACCCTGCTTGGCCTCATCCTGCAGTAAGTCTTCCCTGGGCAGGCCTTTATCCGTGTTCTGCGCTGGCAATACCCATGAAAATGATTTCATCGAAATCATTTGTGTCGCCCCTCAGGTCTTAGTCAAGATTGTCAAGAGGGGATGAAGTACCACTCTGTGATTGTTAGGGAGGGAAGTGTCATTCATTTACCATATTTTTACCTCGCTTTTTGGTCAGTGCACCCAATTCAGAATCAAGCCCCGTTACGTGTGTGCGCATGCGCGCGCATGCACACATTCTGCGGCTCCCACTCTCTCTACAACCTTCCCCAAAAAGGGGAGATTGGAGACTGGACGGAAGTTATTTAAGTCAGCTGGGTCCAGGGTAGGCTTCTTGAGAAGGGGCCTCACAACCGCTTCCTTCAAGGATTGTGGGAAAGACCCCTCCCTCAACGAAGCGTTGATCAACACCTGGAGCCAGCCTTGTGTCACCTCCTTGGCGGCCGAGACCCACCAGGAAGGACACGGGTCCAATAAACAAGTGGTGGCGCTCATCGCTCCCACTGCTCTGTCAACATCCTCAGCGGTCACAGACTCAAATTCATCCCATAAAACTGGGCTAAGACCTGCCCCGATCATCTCAGAAGGACCTGCCCAATTGGAGTCTAGGTCTGTCCAAATCCGAGCGATTTTGTCTGATAGGAACTGCACAAATTCTTCCGCCCTACCCTGTAAGGGCTCCCCAGCTTCCCGAATGTTAAGTAGGGAATGGGTCACCCTAAACAGGGCGGCGGGGCGAGATTGTGCAAACGCAATAAGTGCGGAAAAATGCAAACACTTTGCCGCTCGTATCGCCACTAAATAAGTCCTAATATAGGCTCTTAGAAGTGTCTGGTCGGATTCGGAGTTACTAGCCCTCCAGCGTCACTCTAGACATCTCTTCTGACGCTTCATCTCCCGTAGCTCCTCGGTAAATTAAGGTGCCCTCTGGGATCCACAATCACGGAGAGTCGCAAAGGCACGATCTGGTCTAATGCCCCTGATGCTGCCTTATTCCAAGCAGCAACCAAGGACTCAGCCAGTTTGTGGAGGACGGAATCAGGAAAACCCCCAAGCGCTATTTGGAACCCCTCCGGGTCCATTAAATGCCTGGGGCGGAACCACCTAATCAGTTCTGCCTCCCTGTGGTGGGGCAGTAGGACCGAGAAATCTAACCTCAACAGGAAGTGATCTGACCATGACAAGGGAAAAGTAATTATACCCCTTAAATCGAAATCACGTCTCCACTGCCCCGAGAGGAATACCAAGTCGAGCGTGTGTCCTCCCCTATGGGTCGGACCCTGAATTATCTGGGTCAGGTCCATGGTTGTCATGGAAGCCATGAACTCCTGAGCCACACCGGAGGATTCGCCGAGTGACGGCAGATTGAAATCCCCCAGGACCATAAGCCTGGGGAATTCCACCGCTAACCCGGCTACTCCCTCCAGCAGCTCGGGCAGGGCTGTTGTCACATAGCTGGGAGGCAGGTATGTCAACAACAAGCCCAATTGAACCCTTGAATCCAACCTCAAGAGAAGGGACTCACACCCAACAACCTCTGGGGCAGGGATCCTGCGAGGTCTCAAGGATTCTCGGACAAGAATCGCCACTCCCCCACCCCTTCCCTGGAATCGTGGTTGGTGCATTATCTGAAACCCGTCTGGGCACATCTCTGAGAGAGGAACACCTCCCTCTTGGCCCAGCCAGGTCTCAGTAATACATGCCAGGTCGGCCTCCTCATCTAGTATCAAGTCCCAGATGAAGGGAGCTTTATTAATAACTGACCTGGCATTAAGAAGCAGCAACCTGAGGCCAGGGTCCTGAACACCCCCCTCTCCAGGTATTGGAGAAGAGTCCAAGGGGCCAGAACAAGTAATCGCTTTAATGCAGCGAGTCCTTGTTCCCCAAAGATGGCCCGCCCCTTGGCTCCCGCCATATCTACCTCTCCCTATGATAATCGGGATGTTCCGGCCCACCTCCACCCCTGAAAACTCCCCACCCACCCCGCAGGTCTCCCTCCCACCATCCCCCCCTCCCGGCAGTCCACATCTCACATTCATATCGAGCCGGGAAGTACATCCGCCCCCCCACTTCTATTTACACACTCAGCAGAGAGGGCACCAGTTCTCATTCCCAGCTCCATCACTCACACCCATACACACTCTAATACAATAAAACTAAAAAGAAAATTAAAAACAGTCAATCATACTGTCAACATACACTGGCTGAGAGATTCTGGGAGTCGAAGTCCAAAAGTCACAAAGGGCCACATCTGAAGACCCCTATATTCTTTCGACTGTGCTCCTCTCCCCTCTGCAGCCGCTGGAGGCCATCCAGGAATCAAAGGCCTGGGCAGCAGGGAAAGAAACAAGCGCCCGGGACCGCCACAAAGAAGGTGGAAGAGCTCATACGACGCCCTTCGAGGTCTACAACTTCTGGCTGCTGCCAGCCGCCGCAAGTGGCGTCCGCTCTGGCGCAGCTCCTGGACGACGTGGTGGGCACGGCGGAAGCAGTGGTCCCCCCTGGCGGTGGCGGCGACGACAACAGGATGGCGCCGGCCAGGCCCCCTGTGGTGCGCGGCAGCCCCGCTGGTCTCGCAGGGCCGAGCCGACGAGCATGACCACACAAAGGAGAAAAGAGTTACAATACATTATGCACACTTACTAAGTTCTGCAATACTTCCCACGCGTGTAGCAAGCAGCGACTGTTCGATGGTTCGCAATTCTGATTGGCTAAATATCTGGACATCTCCTGGCTTATTTGACCTTTGCTGTTCTTTGTGAAGATTCAGACTCTCTGGCAGACAAGGAACACCTGTTGTTAAAGCAGAAAGAAGAGAGGACAAAACGTTCAATGTGGTTACAAAATCAGGACAACTGCCAGGTTTTCAGTTTAACAGACTCAAATCTAAAATGCTATCCTACAATAAGAGAAAGAGCATTATTGAATCAAGCCTAATATTATGTATTTTGATTGCCAGTGGGATTTTAAGAAGTTTTATTTTTATTCTTTAAGATCTTCAGCTCAATTTCAGCCCTGCTATACAGACATTGTTTCAAACTAGAGATGACAAGAGATCAAATCAGGCACCTAATATGGGGAAAGCATGTGCTCTGACACCAAACCATGACTCCCTCCCAGTCATAGCTACTTGTTCCTAACCAGGATAACATTTAAGTGATGAAATGTGTGTCATAAAAAACAGAAAAGAAACACAAGTTAAGATAGGCAAGTGAGCACTTGTCCAGCCTAGACAAGTTCAAATCACCAGGACCAGATGGATTACTCCCCAAGGTTCTCAAGGAACTGGCAGATGTGATCTCAGAACCACTGAATTATATTTTTCAAAGATCCTGGAGCACTGGGGAACTACCAGAGGACTGGAAAAGAGCTGATGTAGTTCCCATCTTCAAAAAATGGGGGAAAAAATGGATCCAGGAAATTACAGACTTATCAGCCTGACCTCAATACCTGGGAAGATTCTGGAAAAGATAACCAAACAACAAATCATCGAAGGCCAGTGGTTCTCAACCTGTGGGTCGGGACCCCATTTGGGGTCGAACGACCATTTCACGGGGGTCGCCAAATAACGCAGTCCGCCATTTTTCCCCCCTTTTCCTTAGCTGTGCTACTCCCTTTTATTCAATTGGCTTTGGAAAGCCAATAGAATAGACTCTCTTGAATAGAGTCTAATTCTATTGGCTTTCAAAAGCCAATAGGAATTGTCCAGGCTGTCTCTGCCCTGCTGAGCCCGCCAAAAGCCCCATTCTGCAAACGGTGCTGCGCCAGTTGAGTAGTCCTTGACTTACGATTGGTTGAGTAGTCCTCGACTTACGACCGGTTGCGGCATTAAAAAGGCATTAAAAAGGTTGAGAACCACTGATCTAGGCAAACAAAGTCATTACTAAAAGCCAACATGGGTTTGTCAAAAACAGATCATGCCAGACAAATCTTATTGCATTCTTTGACCAAGTGACAAAATTAGTGGATCAGAGGAATGCTATGCATATAATTTATTTGGACTTCAGTAAGGCATTTGATAAACTAGATCACAACCTACTACTTGATAAGATAGAAAAATGTGGGTTAGTCAGCATCACCACCAGATGGATTCATAGCTGGCTGACCAGCCATACTCAATGTGTGATCCTCAATGGAACTGCATCTACATGGAGGGAAGGGTGTAGTGGGGTGCCCTATAGTTCTGTTCTGGGTCCAGTGCTCTTCAACATCTTCATCAATGATTTGGACGAGGAGATAGATGGGGAACTCATCAAATTTGCAGATGACACCAAGCTGGCAGGAATAGCCAACAGTCTAGATGATAGGAAGTCAAGCTATTCTCCAAAACGCCTGAAGGCAGGACAAGAAGCAACGGATGGAAACTAATCAAGGAGAGAAGCAACCTAGAACTAAGGAGAAACTTCCTGACAGTTAGAACAATTAACCAGTGGAACAACCTGCCTCCAGAAGCGGTGAATGCTCCAACACTGGAAGTTTTTAAGAAGAGACTGGACAGCCATTTGTCTGAAATGGTATAGGGTTTTCTGCCTGAGCAAGGGGTTGAACTAGATGACCTCTAAGGTCCCTTGCAACTTGATGATGATGATGATGGCATCACAATGCAAGCTTCTCACTTTTGTACATACATGTGATGTCAGGTACAAGTACCTAAGCGGCATAGTTTATATCAGGGCACATATTTGTCACTTGTCCTCCTTGATTCTCCCTGTGGACCTCAATGCTCCCAGTATATCTCATTGTTCCTCATTGTATGTGCTTGACTAAACAATAGTTCAAAAGACCATCTATCTTCCAAATCAAAAAGTGACTGTTCCATCCTGAAATATCTGTTTCAATGTAAGTATACAAACATGACTGAGAAATGTTTGAGTGACCTTATTTTTCATAGCTGCAAAGCAAAGCCTAACAGAGCTATAACAGAAACACCTGCAAAATCAATTCTACACAAGGTAATTCACCTCTTTTTTCCTTAAAATATTCTTGTTCTGGGTCAACAGAAGAACAACACATTTTCTTCTAATTCTTTGATGAAAGTGCAAACACTATTGCCTGTGAAAAGCACCCTGCACTTATAGCAATTATCCAGGTTAATCTCTGAAAATAAAGTAACTGCCAATTCTCTTCCATAGTAGATAATAGATAAGCATGTGGAGACTATCCTAGCATTGGAAGCAGTTATCAGGAGCTAAATATACTAAGCCAGCACCATCACGACATGTCCTAATGCTGACAGGTTGGTGCAAGCAGAATTGCACATCAGAAAACTGATTCTAATCTTTATGTCCAATCTTTATGTCAACCCCGTCTTCAATAAATCTTTATATTAAGAATGAATCCCTGTCCATCCATCAATCATATATTCTGAAGGATACAAGTAAACTTTGTATAGAGAAGCATACTAAAAAGAATTCTGAGAAATATTCAAAAATGAACATAATGCTTATAGTATAAGCTTTTATAGATGCCTCTGGAGAATTAATAGGAAAGCTTTTAAGGGGAGATGAAACTTTTCATTGTTTTTGCTACAATGGGCCACCTAAGGTCTCTGATAATTGTTTTTGAAATGTTCAGCCAATAAGCAAGAGATTCATAGAAAGAGTGATAATGTGCATATTTTATTACTACTAAAACTGGTTTTTTTAATGTGTCCAAGAAATGTTGCAGGAAAGTTACAACTAAATACGATTTAATCACAGGACTCCTTAATTAATACATTTAAAAATATATAAATATAGAACCCTGGGGTCTTAGCCCATTGTGCAGCATAAAATTATACATTTGAAACAGTTCATTCATTCAATCCATAGTGAGTTCCTAAAACACTTATTTCCAGCCTAGTTTCTATGGTACTTCAATCCGGCAAGTGTTTTAGTCCCTTGGTCATTAATTTCCTCACACAATCCCATAAAAAAAAAAATACAGCAAAATACTGATTCTGTATGACAGCTCTCTATTATCCTGCTCTAACTAGCTGCCACTAACCAACTTCATGAGCCATGCACATTATGAGCTCATCATATGCACCAGCTGTTTTGAGTGCAAAAATTATAACTTGCACGTTATGAATTATATGGCATGTAGGTTAGTGGTTTATGATTCCAGAGGCTGTTCCAAAGGGTTAGTTTTTGCTCTTTATAATTAGAAATTGGTCAGGGCACAGCTTTTACACAAACAAACTAATTTTCAATCTGTCGAATAAATAGAAAAACTCAAAATACATATGCACACTAAAAAGCACAATCAGGAAAAAAAAACAGAAGTTTGGCAAAGGCCACATATGACAATGGTTTAATAGACTGTCCCAACTTAGGTGACTCACTAAAATTCAGTCCATTTGAGAAAAAGGAATAGTTGCTTAAACTGAAATAAGGTCAGAACAATTGTGTAAGCAACACATTCAGTTCCATTTCACTGACAGATGACAGCAAGGATATATGAGATACTGTAAACCCATACATTCACTCTGAGATTGCACAAGTACAGTATCTACATGAGTTCTTTCCAGAAAATACTGACTAAAGATGACCTGTTCAAACTGAAAATTAAGTAACCCTGGGGTAAGTGATTACTGACTATGTCTGCTCTCTACTCCAAGGTTTTATTTCAGCATAATCTTAATAAGCTGTATATTTTTTTTCTTCTTCAGCCACACAGATTAATCTGACAAACATGCAGACATTCAAGGCTTCCAAACTTGAATTATTTATTTATTCCATTGATATGGTCACCCATCTGAAATGTATTACACTAGGTGGCCAACAATGTAAAACCAAACAAACAAAATACAAGAAACAGCAGTCTGGGTTAAAACAGACTCATCAGTCACAAATCAATATACTCAATGCACAGGCTCAGCCCTACTTTCTGATCCCTAAGCCTGGGGACAAAGCCAATCTTTAAGGCCCTACAAAAGGCTGGCAGAGTTAGGGCCAATTTGATCTCTGGGGAAATCATATTTCAAAGGCTCTCTTCCTGGTCTCAATAGGTGGCCTGATGGAACCTGAAGCAAGCTTTGTCTGCTAGACCTAATGGGATGGGCAGAGATAATTATAGAAAAGTGGTCCCTCAAATAACCTGACCCCATGCCACAAATGCTTTTTTATCTTATACCTTGCACCTTGAATTGAACCCGGGAGGATACCGGCAATTGATGCAGCTGCAGAACAAAAAAATTATTTTGTTTCCCTAGCAATTACTGGTTTGTTTTTATCTGTCTTTCTAAATCAAAGATTCTGACACATCTTTATAAACTTTAATAATAGAACCTGGTGTCATTTGTCATTGGAAACTTATGTAATTGAATGATAACTTTATTACTTATAACTGCATTTGCTGATCAGTGTCATTCAGGATTACATTACATGCTTGAGCATCATACTTCGGCTCATGACTTATTCATCATCCATTAATTCTTGACCTTACCTTGTTTTATCACAGATATTTCTCAGAACCATATTCCCACTATATCCACCTTCAGGTTTCTTCTGATATATCCAACTCTCACATCTATGTAACAAATTAGGCAAAAGTATGCTAAAAAGTATACATAGATATTTCCATTTCTTTTGACAAACATTAGTTCTTCACAACAGACCATATTCTGTCCATTGCCTTTTTCTCAGAATTTGCATACTTTAAAATTTCTCCACATTTCACAATTTTTTCTTTCTGTTCTTATTTTTTACCATTCACAATTAGCTTTTAATTATTCATTCTAATATCTCTCACAAACACAACTATTAATCTTTGTTACATTAATTTTGAGATTAATAGTTACTGTCTAAGTACGC